ATGTGTCGGTCTGAAGCGGCAAGGTGAAGACGAGAGAGTCCCAGGGCACCGGTCTGGCAGGTCTGGGAAGCGCAGCCGGGAGCCAAGGGAGGGGATTGGCTGACGGTCCAGCCAAGACCCTTCCCGGGTTTTGGCACCAAAATGAAAGAAAACGAGCCAAAATGCCGGGTACCATTCAGGCTTTATTAAGGGAGGAAAACCCTGCCGGGCTGCGCTCAAAATGGCAGGGCAGGCAGCTAGGAGCACATACGCTTATATGGGTTGGTGGTTGCGAAAAACGCAGGCGGGGAGGGGGAGGGAGCGCTGGTGTGTGGGATCAGGTCCACTATTGGTGCCGGTGTGGTGGGTAGGGGTGAGGCAGTCAAGATGGGAGGTATCTCCAGGCAGGAGTGGAAGGGTCCTTTGTCTGGGAAACCATGAGGTAGAGGGTTTCTTTGTTTGAAGAAACCAAGAGGTAGGGTAAAAGACTGGTGGCCATTTTGTACTCAATATGGTGCCAGTCATGTCCATGATGACGTCAGTCACATCCAAGGTGATGTGACCACGTCCAAAATGGTGCTGGCCACATCCAAGATCTATCAATAATATTTACCATTTTACTCATTTTTAAGTGTACAAATTACTGGCATTAAATATGTCCGCAATGTTGTGCAAATATCAGTACTATTTCCAGAACTTCATCATCCAAAATAGAAAGTTTCTATCCATTAAGCAATAATTCATTATCTCTTACCCTCAACCCCTGGCAACCTCTATTCTACTTTCTGTGTGAATTCACCTATTCTAAGTAACTCATGTAAGTGGAATGATACGTTCCTTTGTGTCTAGCTTATTCACTTAGTGTAATGTTTTCATGGTTCATTCATGTTGCAACATGTATCAGAATTTCATTCATTTTTTATGGCTGAATAGTATTTACTTGTATGTGTAAATCACATTTCATTTACCCCTTCATCTTTTGGATACTTAGGTTGTTTCCACTTTTTGGCTATTGTACATAATGCTGCTATAAACATTGGTGTACAAATATCTGTTCGAGTCCCTGTTTTGAGTAATTCTGGAATATGCCTGGCAGTGAAATTGCTGGATCATAGGGTAATTCTATGCTTAACTTTCTGAGAAACTCTCAAACTTTTCCACAGTGCTATACCATTTTACATTCCCACCAGCATCCAGCATTATTTTTAAGCATGCCAGGTTTTAAGTCAGACCTAGACTGGAAATAAAAAGCAAAGTTTAGACTCCTACCAGAGTTTGCTGGCAAGTTGTTGATATTAACACTCTTAACAAATCATTTCCTAGACTAGAGCAATGTTTCTCAATGTACACTGCTAAGACTCCCATAGCAATCATCTAAGGAGCTTCTTACATCTGTAGGTCCTGAATCCCACCCTGTATATGCTGAATCGGCATCTCTAGGAATAGGGTCTTGAGTGAAGAAAAACTCAGTTTCTCCCATTATACTCTCACAACATGCTTCTGACACCAGATGTGTAGGGATTTCTCCCCACCAGCAAGTAAGTAATCAAATTTGCAGCGGATGTCAGCTGGGTGTCATCCAATTCAATTCCGACACTATCTACTTGGAGATAGCATCTGATCCCACAGGTTGAGGGCTCAGTCCCACAAGGCTGCCCCACTTCCTATGCCAAACACAAGCTCCAGGTTGTCTTACCTGTTCTTCTGACCAGCCAGGTATAAATTAGGATTCCCACGACCTCCTCCTTGGGTTCAGTTAATTTGCTAGAGCAGCTCATAGAACTCAGGGAAACACTTGTATTGGTTTATTATAAAGGGTATTACAAAGGATTCAGATGAAGAGATGCAGAGGGTTAGGTATGGAGGAAGGAACTTTCATGTGTTCAGCTATCCCAGAAGAGCCTCACACCCTGTCCTTTTGGGCCTTTTCTGGAGACTTCATTGGATAGGCATGATTGAAGCATGGACAACGTGTATATATGTGTCATTTTCAGTTGAGTTTTTCATACTTTGAAGCAGGGTGAGAAAAAAAAAAGATACGGGCTTGGAATTGTAAGGGATTTTTGGTGTGATTTCTAAGATCAGTATTTAAGAATCAAATTTATAATTTCTGAAGGTTGATAACATTTTGTAACTCTACCAAATTCCTAGTGTTGTTGGAGCACAAATGATACTATGTGTAAGAAAGCTTGGGTAGAAATGGTTTTAGTTACTATGTGGTCTAATAACTTAAAATAAAAAACTTTCTAAAGACTTTAAATATACTGCTGTGTAAGTTAACTGCTCTAACGTATACGCAAATGAGATCAGAATAGAAACACAGCAGAAAAACAGGAAGTGTATGCAAAACGTATTCATTCAGTCGCTCATTCATTCATCACGTGTATCCAGCATTTATGTACATATCATGCAGGGTATTGTGTGGAAAACAGTGATTAAACAAATTCAAATCTGTCCTCCAGGGATTTCATTCTTTTGAATATACAAGTATCAATAACCAGTAAGCTGTCCCTCTTCATGTCAAAGCTCTCTCCTCCGTCATCCCGAATTGTAGGGGGACGTAGCTTGAAACTCGCAGGCGCTGTCTCTTTAACACGTAATAGAACTCTGATTGCATCGATCACAGGCTCACAACCCCCTCCCATCAATCAGTCTCATTCCTGTCCCGGTTACTACCCACCTTCCCGGCATCAAACCGCGGGGAACCCGAGTGTTAGCAAACGTTGGCTTCGATGTGTCCTCGCACTTGACCCCGAGACGGTTCCGGGCGCCGCACGGTCCCCCCTCTTAACCCGTCCCCTTTCCTCCCCTCCCCCGGTTCCCCCCACCGGCGGGAGCCCGGCGCCGACCGCTCCCCTCATGGCCTCCGCCCCGGTAAGGACGGGCTGGGGGGAGTCCTTCCCAGAGTCGGTCCCACGGGCTGTGGGGCCAGGTCGGGGCCCGGCCCGCACCTTGAGGGAGATGAAGGCAGGTGTCCGCAGCCGGGTCCCGAGCCGCCCGCCCCTTGCCCCGGGGCGTCCGCGTCTCACTGTCTGCGACCGGAGCAGCGGGAGCTTCACCCCGCGTCCCGGAGCTCCGGACGCAGCCCGGGCGGCCCCAGGGCCCGCAGAATTCTCTGAGGGTTTCCGTGGAGCGCCTGCGTCAGAATCAACTGGGAGGTTTTTAAAAAGTACCAGAGCCAGGGCGCCGCCTCGCACCTACCGGCTCCGTGCCAGCGGGCGGGGCCCGGGAAGCCGCCGGGTGGTCTGGGCCCTGGGATGCGCTCCGCTCTGGCAAGCGCGAATGGAGGATTCTGCGGGCTCCGCGCGGGGAGCCGGCGCCCCGCGTCTCCTGCCCCGCAAGCCCACCGCCTACGTGGTTCCCGGGCGGGACCCCGGCGGAAGGGCAGCGTTGACCCCCGACCCCCAGAACTCGAGGTCTGCACCTGCTTTCAAAACTTGACAACTTTCCTTCCCAGGAGGACCCGGTTCTGGAGCGTTATTTTAAAGGCCACAAAGCTGCGATCACCTCCGTGGACTTCAGCCCCAACGGCAAACAACTGGGTAAGTTTTATTCTCTTTTCCCTGCGTAATGAGACAGAAGCTCAACTGGACGGAAACGTTTCCTCCTGTCCAGGCTGGGCCCGCGGGAGAACGACCGAGGACCTGTGTGGGCCTGGGCCTGGCAGAAGACTTTCACCAACTAACCACCAGGAGGAGTGAGTGGGAAGGGGAGGGGTTTGTCCTCGGCCCGGGGCGGGTGGGGTGTTGGCTGGAGAGTTCATGAAAAGTTGTGAGACGAGCAGGAGGAAGTGGGGAGAGAGGAGTGGGACTGTGCCGGAGGCCGAGGACCGAGACGTCTCAGGTGACCCCTGGGTGCGGCCGGGAGGTTAGGAAGGAGCCGAGCGCCTGCACGAAAAGAGGGACCTGCTGGGAAGTCTCCCGTCGTCCCCCCCACCCCCCCCCCCCCCCCCC